AACCCAAAACACCTATGTCCAAAGTTGAACGGTTATGGAGATAATGGCCCGAGAAAATGTGGTCTTCTGGCGGGTCCACGCACTGTACCTGTCAGTTGACAAGTCTTATCGATGTTTGTCCTTGAGTGTGGTGATGACGGCTAACACTAGCTTCATACACTTGCATACCAGAATGCGCAGTCAGCCATGTTACGTCAGTGCTTGCCATTCATGTGTCATGTAAAGTGCTTGGAACCCTAGCGACAAATATGACATGGCGTGCGAGTTTTTTTGTAGTTCAATTTAATGGCTTCATGTCACTCAGAAGTTAGTTTGATGTTATGTACATTATTAACATTACAGAAACCATATTCCTGGCAGTTTTAATATGTATTTAGTAATCAACAAGTGTGTAACACCTGTCAAAGTTTCACACTTCTCTGGCCATTATCTCTGTAACTGTTCAACTTTGGACATAGATGTTTTGGGTTATATCAACATACTTTAACATAAGGAACACCCTCCCGAAGCCTGGCACATTCCTCCTGGGATACCCTGTGTATGTTATCAGTTGGGGCAGTCAGAGAATTTTAATGCTATTAACTGTGGAATTATAATAATAATTGTTTGGTTCATTGAGTGGAGTGTCATTAATGCAGTAGGCCTGGACCATTTTTATATGGTTGGCTGGATTATTTATTTCCTTTCTTAACAGGTCAGTTTATTACTAATCTGATTGCCATGTTCAGTCTACGCAACTCTAAGAATGTATACCCATTCAACTGTTTATTAAAAATGGCTGCATGTTTCGACCATTCAACTGGGCATTGTCAGGTGATACAATACTTACAAGTGTTTTTTAAATTGCAGTTATTTTTTTAGTAACATATGGGCTATATTGACAGCTCTGAATTGTGCTGTGTGGTCCTCAGAAAATTTAACGTTATGTAATAATGTTTTATAATAATTTTTCTGGCTGTTGATGAGCTTTTTGGACTTCATATTTTAAGTTGTTATTCACATGTGTTTTCATGGATGTTGCCAGGCTGTTGCAGATGTAAATATTCATTCTCAAGATACGGACAGTGCTGTGTTGCTTTTCGCTTTTATAAACTGTCAGGAGTCGTTACTTTTATTTTTTGTTTGTTTTTATTATTAATTTACTCTACTGTACTCACAGTCCAGTTATAACATCCAGTATTGAAAAAATACAAAATGCAGGTTTCAGTACACTTTCTCCTGAAAATAAAGACCGCTGATAACAGAGGCAACCAGTGCATGAATACTCCTAATTTCTCCCAGTAACATTAAGAGATGCTTCAGTTCACTGGGTGTGTGATTCAGTTTTATTGTTCTTATTCTGGCATTTTGATTGAAAACAACAATTGAATTCTTTGGTTTCCATGAATGGTATCACTGGATCAGTTTTGTGAGACTCCTAAATGTTCTCCTCAGGGCATCTTTATCCCAGTTGATGCTTTGTCTGGATATTGAGCTTGTCAATCATTGTATAGGTCTTGAAGGAGTCTGGGGTTTCCCCAAGCACTTCTGTATTCTGGTGGCACCCTGAGGGCATTACATTTTGCATGATAATATTAAAACGACTGAATGAGTTGATACAGGAGTAATACTCTAGACTTTTGTTTGGGACGTTCAAATCTTGGCCATGTCACTGGCCAAGATGACTGAGGGTTTCGTGGTTTTCTGCAGCCACACCAGGCAAATGCCAGGGTAGTACCTAAAGTAGGTCATGTCTCCTTCCTTCTCAGTTCCTTCAAATTCATCATTTATCCATCAGTATACCATCTGATGCTCTAGTCACGAAACTGAAAATGCATTGTTAAAAAACCGACAGAAAAGTACATGAAAATGGCTGGTATTAATTCAGTGTATGACAACAGGCTCCTTAGCTTCTTGTTTTCTTCTTCACAACTCTTCACTGTTTTTTTTAGTGCCATTGCATTCGAATGAAGGGAACCGTAACGTTTTTCAGGTGGCGGTTCGTATGTGTGTCATTATATATTTTACTGTCACTGAAGAAATGTTTAAGTGAAAAGGTGACAAAATGCAAAGGAAAAGAGCAAGCAGATCCTCAGCAGGCAGCTGCTGATATACTGAGCGTGAGTCAGCAGAAGACAATCAGAACTTGTCTGCAGTTTGTAATTTCTATGGGTGTTCTGCCGAGCCTGTTGCCTGGTGTGGGCATTTCTCTTGCAGCTCGGTCCACAAGCTCACACAAGTTGAAGGTTGAGGAGCTTGTTATCCTGGAGGTATGTTCATTATGCTCCTATTTATATGTTTGATAGTGTTCTGGTTTGTGACACCTTATATATCATGGCATGTGTATGGGTGACTGTAGACAGGGTTTGGATTGGTGAATAGATTTATTGACAACTTACAGGTTGTAACAACAAATACTATATCACTATCTTTATTTCCACATTTTATAGTTCACTAGAGCACACAGTGTAGTGTTCTCAGTTTGTTACTAGACGTTTCCTGTTAAGGGCTCCAACAATGGCTATTCCTCTCCCTCTGGCTCAGTTCCTGTCTTCACAGACTCCTGTACAGAACTGACTAAGCTCTAACCTTGGCCATGCCATAGCTCAAGCGGTTAGTCACTGGCTTCCCACAGTGTCGGCCCGCGTTCGATCCTGGGTCTGGTCAAGTGGGATTTGTGGTGGACAAAGCGGTGCTGGGGCAGATTTTCTCCAAGTACTTCAGTTTCCCCTGCCAATCTTCATTCCACCAGTTGCTCCACAATCACCCTCATCTATCATCTGGGGCTGGTACAATAGGCCAGAAGTGGCCACAGTACAAGGGACTTAGTCCCACCCCACTAGCAATAATAATAAAAAAAAGCTCTAACCTTTTCCCTTGCTTAAAACGTCTTGGCATGGACCGTATAAAAAGGCACAGCTCTTCTGTTGTTGCATTCATGTCTGTTGCTGCAGGAACATGTTTACTGAGCTGTTGTCCAGAAAGGGCCTGGTATATCTGCCCATCTTGCGGTCATTACATAGCAATGGCTCTACACACTACAATATTGTAGGTGGATATCAGAGTTTTGGAGAGACATGCTGCACTTGACCCTGAAGATGGAGGCAGAATATTACTTTGAAACATTACTGTTGACCTACAGTATTATGCAATGTCAACCCAGAAGACAATGATCTGCACATTCTTGTTTTTGCATCACAGTACAGTCTCAGTAATCCAACTGTGTGCTAGTCTGACGCATCCAGTAATCTGGTATCAGGCGCCAGACAGGTGTCTGCGACCTTGTGCTGGTTTCTACAGGCAGCAGAGGCTGACTTGTGTTCATTTGAGCTTCACAAACTGATTTATTTAAACCTTCGCTAGTAGACAGTGTTTCTGTTCTTCAATACTATACATTCCTGTACAGTACTTTTCATACAGCGGTGGATTTAATGCGTGCTGAATCTGTCCAGTTCTGACAAACTTAAACATAAAACTTTTAAGTGCTAAAGCAGAAATAATTAAGAAACTTGATAAAAGGTGGAAAACTTATTAATTTTGCTAAAGAGTATGGTGTGGGATGTGACATGGTATACAATATCAGCAAAAATGAGAGAAGATTGAGTACAACTTAATAAATTTGTTATGACTCTTATCAGTTGTCTGTTGTTTTCAGTAATATGGTGGTACCTTGGTCCCATACATGTCGGATTACCAATATTGTACTGTATAATTTGAAGTGTTATTATTTGTTTATTTTTAATTACTAGAAGGTTAAATTAACAAGATTTAAACAGTTTAACAGGATGTATCTGACTGCTAAGTAAAATTGTATTAAATAAATTGAAGGATTATTTTAATTAGGGAGGATGTTAACATGTCATCCACTCATGGTGATATTCTTGAGCAGCCCTGAAGGTACAGGCACATTCAGTGCTAGTCGTAGGGACTGAAGGGTCCAGGTCAAATCAGTCCATTGAACTTGAAACGTTTTTGTATAATTAATAATTATGTAGGTAAACAACAAGTAGTTCCAGGTAGAACTCATACAATGTGCTTTACTATTGCTTAGATTTTGTCATACAGATCTTCTGTTGCTAAAGTTATGTTTAAGTCATAATGAGTTTAAGAGTACTGTATTCAGGGAAGTCACATTGTATCAGTTGATAGGTACATACAGTTGTGTTGGAAGAATCTGCTGCTTCCATTTTCAGGATATCTATCCTGAACATGTAGGCAGCAAGTTCCTTTAAAATAAGTGATACCTGTCTACCACATTACATGGTGTGACATGCTAGAAGACTGCAAGAACCTCAGATCTCACATGGTAATGAGTTACAATATAAAATGAAATTTTCTCATGGATTAGAATGTTTGCTTCATGGTAATTGTAGGATCAAATCATACTGGAATCTGGCTTTCATGACTGCTTGTAACTTAAAGTTATAGAATGTTGTCGTCTTTGTAGTCATCGTCATCATAGTGGTAGTGGTAGTGGTGATAATGATAGTGATAGTGGTATTAGTAGTATTTATTGCGTAAAACTTACTACTAATTACAAATCCCAACTCCTAAAAATGCAGCCTCAACATTTTGCTCTGTTGTCATGCTAATATGAGGGTCATACTGAAAATCATGAGCAACAATTTTTTGTAAAGTAACATGCTTTATTATTGACAAATCAAATACACCACCACAATCTACAGACCTTTCTTTATTTTTCCACATAATCGCCACTTCTTTGTACACATTTCTCCCAGCATTCTGGGAGTTTGAACATTCCCCTTCTGTAAAATTCCTTTCCAGCCATCCGAAGACACTGACGCACTGCTTTCTGAATTGTCTCTCTTGTCTCAAAACGTTGTCCACGCAGCTGATTCTTCACAAATATGAAAAAATGGTAGTTGGAGGGTGCCAGATCAGGGCTATGGGAGGGGTGTGGAAGAACTTCCCACCCCATCTTTGCAATTGCTTCCAATGTGAGGCAAGCAGCGTGGGGGCGAGCGTTGTCATGCAGGATGATGATGTTTCGTCTTGGACGTTTATCATGCAATGCACAACGGAGCTTGTGCAGCGTGTGGACATAATGAGCAGCATTGATGGTTTGCCCAGGTTCCAGGAATTCGGCCAGAATAAACCCCTCTGCATCCCAGAAGACTGTGCCCATCACCTTCGCAGCTGATGGCACTGTCTTTGCCTTCTTTCTTGATGGAGAATGCAAATGGTGCCATTCAATACTCTGCCGTTTCGTTTCAGGCTCGAAATGGTGAAACCAGCTTTTGTCAGCTGTCACAATACAGAGCAAAAAATCATCGCCCTCATGTCGATATCTCTGCAACAGTTCTGAGGTGATGGCTTTTCACTGACATTTGTGGTCTTTGGTCAATAACCGCGGGATCCAACGAGCACAAACTTTCATATAGCCCAAGCTTTCAATCCTCTCCTGTACTGCACTGTGCCCTATTCCAAGTTTTTGGGCTATTGTGTCCACAGTCACATGCCCGTCATCTTGAATGATCTCATCTACTCTTTCTTTGTGGCGTTCAGTTGAGGCTGTTCGAGGACGATCGCTCCAAGGCTCATCTTTGATGCTGGTGTTCCCATCTTTAAAATGTTTCACCCATCTTTGAACACTGCTCGCACCCATGCACACACTTCCATAAGCACACTGAAGTCTCTTGTGAATTTCTGCATCAGGGATTTCATCTTTCACAAGAAATTCAATGACAGCACACTGGCGAAACGACATATCGTCGGCCATTTTGTTAGGAGTGATACTGGTCATGTGATTGCAAGCTATTGACATCACAAGACACTCAAGGTTAACATAACAGCTGGTTCTACCTACCACCATACTCTCTTTCATCTGCTGTTCCCAGGTTGGGTGCAAAAAAAAAAAAAAGCTGCTCATGACTTTCGGTATGACCTACGTATTTAGTAATATATTGTAAACAAAATTTCATATATTAGAAATGTTTATATTCTCTCTTCATATAGAATTTCATTTCATTGGTAAAGCTATCCCTGTAACAGGCTATAGAGTCTTATAGAGATGTGTGACATCGAGGCTCCCGCATTTTCTAGATGGCTCACATGACACTGAGGTTGTCAGCCTTACGTGCCGGCAGCACTTTTACCCCCAGGAAGATTCCTGGTATGCTTTTCTGTTAGAGGTTGAGTCAACCCCAGGGCCATAGTGTGGCTGGAAGGAGTAGGTCAACTGAAAATTCCAGTGACCTCATCAGGAATTGAACCCACAGTCTTCCACTTTGTAACATAGTGCGTCAACCAACTATTCTACTGCATGTGTCACTAGTCCCATTGGTCCATTACTTATTCATGGGAGGCACGAGCTATCCTGAGTGAGGTTTCTTGTGATTTTCCTCACTCTCTCTTAGGAAATATTGGGATAGTACCTCTATTATGCCATAACTGCTTGTTTCCAGATCTTTTCCAATTCATCATTCATATTTTGTACTGTTTGATGCTGTATAGTCTAGTTATTGATGACAACATAAAATAACCTTTAAAAAATCAAAATTAAGTGAACTTTTTCACTTCATCCAATCAGAACAGGTGAGCTCATAAGCAGGATTTTTTTGTTAAGACTGGAAAGTAAACTAAAATTCTTGTAAAAATTTAACCAGGTGCACGTCTAAGTAGTTATATGACAAAATACATGTCTTATTGATGGAATAAGACTAAGCATGAAGAATGTGCTGAAATATGGATTTTCGATACACAGATAACTGCTGGAGTATTCTGACTTGAGTACTAATCAGGGAGTTTTAAAAAATATAAGAAGCACATTACCATTTCCCACATGTCGTGTGTGTGGCAGGGGATAAGACATCTGAGAGTAATATTCTTTGTCAGATATATTTAAACAAATACTGTATAATGCAAATGGATATGAAGACAGAACAGTAAATGTTCTAAATAAAGTATGGAAACCTCTCATCTGCTCCCTAAGAGGTCATAGGGTGAAATGTTGCAGTAGAATGGTTTGCACTCCTTCGAGTTCAGGAGGTATGGATTCAAATCTGAACCTAGAATCCAGCTGCCTGACAGACTTTTCATGGTTTTTCTCAGGTCATGTACCCAAATGCAGGCATAGTATCTTACTCCTTCAAATTCAGGAGGTCATGGATTCAATTCTGAACCTAGAAACCAGCTGCCCGACAGATTTTTCATGGTTTTTCTTAGGTCATGTACCCAAATGCAGGCATAGTATCTTACTCCTTCGAATTCAGGAGGTATGGATTCAAAGCTGAACCTAGAAACCAGCTGCCTGACAGATTTTTCATGGTTTTCCTCAGTTCATGTACTCAAATGTAGGCATAGTATCTTAAAGTAGGCCATGACTGCTTCCTTCCACATCCATTCCAACTTATTATTCACTAATTGCTTTACAGTTTAGTGCTATAGCTACTTGCAGCCTAAGCTGTACACACTGATGTTTGATAAAGCATACGTGAAACTGAGAAATGGGAAATTGTGTATTAGTTACTTCATTATTTGAATTCTCTTCAAATAAAAGTGAAGAATTTATGATATGCTTTAACAAGTTCCCAAATAATAGATAAAAATATGAAGTTTATACTCAGGAGGGTTACCGCAACAGTCAGATGTTAAGTATTACATTTCCATTGCTCTTGTGAACATTTTATAACAAATTTTTATTGTCTTTTCTTGTGTAGAAGTATGAACGTTTGTCTGGTGTGACACGAGGATTGGTGGCCTGCTTTGAGCAGCCCTCTCTGCGAAGTTTGATTCTGGTGCAACACCTTGGAGACCTGGTAGCATCTCTGGCACAACTGAGCTTTGCCCCACTGAAGAAGCCTGTAGGAAGTGCTTCCTCATCTTCCCCTACTGCTTCCAGTAGCAGCAAACAGGATAACAATGGGGAAGAATTTGTGATGACACCAGAGCTCTGGGGAAGGTTACAGGAGGATCGGAGTTACTTCAAAAAATGCTTCTTGTCCCTAATAAATAAATTATATCAACCACTTATAATAAAGGAACTGATTTTACTTCATGGTTCAGCTAGAAGTAAGGTACGTTGTAGACGTTCAGTTCTTGTAATGTTTATGAACAACAGTAATATTTTAAGAGCCTTCTGTATCACTGGGAGGAGCTAGGATAGCTGAATCATTGTAAATATGGGCTGAATGGCCAGGGTATGATTCCTGGAAAGGGCAGAAGAATTTTTTATACTTCACAGTGACTTCTGGGGCTCCCCCAGTCTCCTGTCCAGTTGGTACTGCGACTCTTTCCTCAGGGGTAAAGCATTCAGGGAGTGAAGCTGACCACTCACCTCCATCTAGTGCTGAGGTTGAGAATGGTGTAAAATATTATTATTATTATTATTATTATTATTATTATTGTTGTTGTTGTTGTTGTTGTTGTTGGAGGGGGTGGGTTTCCCCATACACTGCGACTAGTTTTTAATCTATTGTGTGTCCCCCTTTAATATTCTACCAGTTGCCATGCCCTTCCAGTACTGGTGCTCGCTATCAGCCCTGTTCTGCCAGCGAGGTCGGCCTTCTCTGGCAGTGGTCCCCGATACTTTCCAATCTACCGGAGGAATTGGAAAGTACTTGGGCGGGAAACTTTGCCTAATTTTGCTCAGAGGTCTCCTAGAGACAGGAGGATCTTTTACCTGCCCTAAATCTACGACACGGGACACACGGCTTGAAGTCCCTCCCAGAGGACTTGTTCCCTGAATTTTTCCACCCTTAAAAATTCCACGACCTCCGCCGGGTTTGAACCCGAGTACGTTGAGTCATGAGGTGGGAACGTTACCCCTAGACTATGGAGGCCACTTGTAAAGTATTAAAAAAAGCTATCTCTGTAACAGGCCATGTAGGCCTATGGGGTTGTGAGATGTTCAGGCTCCCAAATTTTTATAGACATTTGGCTCACAGGTGGTGGTGAGGTCAGACTTACGTGCCAGCTGCCATTTACCCCCAGGAAGATTCCTAGTACTCATTTCTGTTATAGGTTGATTTGACCCCAGGGACATATTGTGGCTGGAAGGATTAGGTCAATTGAATAGTTCAATGACCTCACTTGGAATCAAACTTGCGACCTTCCAGCTTGTGAGATTCTTTAACATAATCCTCACTCAAGTAGCTGGGCTACATCTTTTGCCACAGAAAGAGAGAGGCATGTCCATTGGCACATAGTATCGAGTTTCACAAGTATTCATTATTGCAAGGAGGTAAAATAAGTTGATTGCATTTGTAATTTTTTGAGCAGGAGGATGAAATTGGTAGGGCATGTAGTATGCAGGGATGCAAGAGAAATGCATACAGGATTTTGGTGAGAAACCCAGAAGGAAAGAGACCACTAAGAAGATGTAGACATAGGTGGGAGGATAATATTAAAATAGTTCTTAGAGACATGATGCACTGTTATGGACTGGATTGACCTCTCTCAGGATAGGGAGCAGTGAAGGGCTCTTATGAACATTGTAATGCAGTGGTTCTCAACTTTTGTCAGACCGCAGCCCAGTAAATTCTCTCTTCTATAAGGCAAGGGTCTGGTATAATTGATGCCAGGGCCCGGTACTGGACCATGGCCCAGTGGTTGAGAAACACTGTTGTAGTGAACCTTCAGATTGTGTAAAACGTTGAGAATTTCTTGCGTAGCTGAGCAACTGGTGGTTTCTCAAGAAGGGCTCAGCTCCAAGGAGTAGGTTATAGCCGACTTCCTGAGCAGCATGCTGTGGTGAATGAAGTGGGGAGAGGTTTGTTCAGACTAGTGAAACTGGATGATCAGTTATACATAAGTAACTAGCTGCCTTCTTGAAGCTGAATCCTTCTTGAGAAGCCACCAGTCATCTAGCTGTTCAAGAATTTCCCAGTATTGTTTGGAACCTGAAGGTTCATTACCATGTTCACAAGAGCCAACCACTGGTCCCTATTCTCAGCCAGATGAATCCAATACATGCCCCCCCATCTTGTCTTTTAAGGTCCATTTTAATATTATACTTCAACCTACAGACTGGTTTATTACTCTTGACATGCATAGAAATTGTAACGATTTAGACTGCTGAAGTTGGGAATTCTATCCATGTGTATACCAGTAGGTGTTGCATATTAGGTAGTTGTGGCATTGATTCCAATATGAAATGGTTGACTGATTATCATCCAGAGCAGTGCACACTTTTCCATATACACTCCAACTACTATGGTATTGATGGTGCATACACTGGTGGGATATCAACGCAGTCTCACGTACAACTTCTCTGTTATTGTTGCCTACACAAGGTATAATGTGTACACAGACTTCTCAGCAGCAACACATGTATGTCGAGATATAATTTCTGTTTTGTGTACTGCGCCGTGTTAACAAGGAAGTCAGATTTGATCCTCCCGTTCCCATATGTACTTGCAAGTTTATAAACCTTGAAGCAGCAGACGGTTTCCAACTTGTTTGTTGGGAAGTTTATGTTTAGATATAGTGTCCTAGTTCAGTCTGTTCAGTTGAAATTGTTATTACAGTGAAGTCATAATTTTACCATTCTTAAGGGACCTCCTAAAATAAGTGTCAAATCGGGGAAAAGAGAATGATATAATGTAAAAAAAAATTGGTTTTGTTTATGCCACCCCTTTTGAAGGTCATGTAGAAAATACATTGTTGGAATGCAGAGCTATGTACATGTAGATAGAAATATGGTTCTTGGTTTATTTTATGATGCTCTATGAACTACTTTTTTATGTGCCATCAGTAACATGGGATGGTGATTATAACCTATGAATGGAAAGGTTGTGGAAGGAAGTGCTCGCAGTCTGTTTCAGCATTCACCTACATAGACTGGCAAATATACTGTCACACACATATATGTCATTATAGATGGGGTTTAGGTTGGTAATAGTATTTATTTAACACTTACAGAACATAACTACAAGCAGAATTACTGGGTTTCTGGACTTTTTCTGTCGTCCGGAAATATAGGTAATAGAGGACACGAAGTTTCAGAAACTGGATCTGTTTCCGTCTTCTGGTGAGAAAGGAAGACACGTACTCAGTTTGGGATATATGTGTCACAGTATATTTGCCAGTCTGTGCAGGTGAATGCTGAAACAGACTGTGATCGCTTCCTTAGGGGGGCCCCTTAGAAAGAGATTGGCTTTTCCTAAGGCCCCGAACTGAGTAGGTGGATGTATGGATCCACGTTTTCTTGATCTTGTCACTAGCTGAAGGTGAGTGGTCAGTTTCATGCCCCTGCTACTTTACCCCCAGGGAAGAGCCCCCAGTACCCATTGGATAGGATGCTGGGTGAGCCTCAGAGCTGGTCTGGACGATGTGTAGAAGAGAGACTTTTTACCCTACCAAGACTCAGGTTGTCCAGCCCGTAGCCAGTCGCTATACCGACTGCACTATCCCAGCTCCAGTTTTAATGATAAATACTGAATGATTGATTTTCTGCAGCATGGGGTGCAGTCCTCCCCCCCAACTTGGCTGAAACGCTGCTGCATCCCGCTCCTTGTTCAGTGTCTTATTAGACCTGGTGGTGTGAGTGCATTGGTGCGTGCCATCTGTGACACCTCGTGTGACATTGGTTTGGATTGGAGCAAATTGGACACTGTAGTGAAGGTTATTCTAACTGTTCACGTTCAGCATGCAGAACAGTACTACAAAAACATTTGTACTCAGGTAAAGTTGTATTTTGTGTAGTCATATATACAGTTGGACATCACATGCTCGTAATTAAATAGATTTTAATTTTGGCACAAGGCAGATTTTGTTGCCAGTATCTGGGGATGTAAGTGTTATGTTATAATGGCCATAACATTTCTGCAATTTTTGAGACTGTAAATCTCTATTTTTGCACTGTATTTCTCAGTAGCTACTAATCATGCTCTCTTGTTCCTATTTATTTTTCTGATTGAATGAATTGTGCTTTTGCTGCATTGCTATTGGAATATTTGAAGTTCACAATGTCAGTCAGTTCAGGTGGAGTCAAATTTCCTCCTTTTTAATTCTTGTTCATGTAGTTTCATGATGATGTGTTTCTGAAACATTTTGCACACTGACAAATGGAGGAACAGTTATGAACATAGGCCGTGTTCCTCAGAACTGGCCTTTAAGTAGCAGGTGGGGAGAAGTGTGGCAAGAAGTGACAGAGCATTGATGACATCTCTGTTGAATGAGGGAGGGTGATGCACCCTAACTAAGGCTCTTTTGTAACCCATGCATGTCCTGAAGCTCATACCTGATTTGGTAAACTTGAACAAACCCACTGCTTTCTGCTGAGAACTGTCAGGTCTGGGAATATGGAAATTAGTGAAAATCTTTCTTACAGTTTGCTAACAAACGCAAACATTGCATTTAGTTTGGTAGTTCTCAATGGCTAGTTTTATTGGCTTCATTTTATATTGTAGGTAGAGTAAATTTTATAATACATTTTGTTATGGAAAAAAGACAAAGGAGTGTAATATAATACACAAGTTTTTAAATTCTGTTATACTAATTCTTACTCAAACAGAATAAAATACCAAACTCATGCTGCTAGTGCTTTGAGCCCTGCTTGCCACCTGCTTTCACACTAGTTTCTTGCTTGGTTTATTCTTTGACCCTGCAGATGGTGGTGACATTTTCCTCTGAAATGTTTGTTGACTTTCAGTAGACTACATAATGTTATATCCCAGAAGATAAAATTCTTCAAAATTAAAAAAAAAAATGTAATTGGGGTGCAACTTAAACTTGTTTTAATATAATTGTTATCTGTCTTTAATTTCAGATTGTTGAATTGTTAAACATGAGTGACAAAACGCAGTCACAGTTATATGTCACTGTGTCCCTGCTTTGCATGAAGGCCCTGTGCTCAGAAAAGCCGCTGATGTTTGAGCGTTACGTGTTGGATGTACTGATGAACCCTCTCTTAGTCTGCTGCAATGTCAGCCATCATGGCCCAACTTTCTATCGAGAAGTGCCACTGCTCTCACAGAAAGCTGCTGGCAGTTCTGCGTCACACTGTCTTGTTTCTGAAGATGAATTGTCAAGGAGTATCAGCAATCTTCACAAATGCTTTGTTAGTGGCGTGTCTCCCTTGCCATCAGAGCATCTGTTTTCAGTGGCTTCTGTGCTGTTTCTTTTGCATCTGAAGATCTGTCAAAGTGCTACTCATTTAAAAACGAAAGTTGAAGAACTGCTTCTGAAGTTCCTCTCAGGTTGTAACCAGAAACAGTTACATACAGTTTTTAATGCGTTTCTCTTTGGTGATCAAGCAGAGGGGATGCTTGAGATGAGTGAGAGGGTGGAATTTCAGTTTGGGTCAACAGGAGGTGTTGAAGTGAAGCTTAGGAAGGATCCTAAGAAAGACTTGTGTTCTGAGTACGCTGGGGATTGTATTGTGGAGTTACTAGAGAAAGGAGACAAGAAGGGAGATGTCACCAACAATTTGTTTGTGTTCCTCTTGCGTCTTCTGTCTGATCCAAAATCTGACCTTGCACTGTTAGAAAGTGAGAGAAGTAAGTTAAATAATGAACTTCTAGAATTGGAGGATGCAGTCATTTTAAATATTGTTGGACGATCTGAAAGAAACGTTGTGGCTGTGAAACTTCTAGCTATTTTAGCTGAAAATCCTGCTGTTCATGAAAAGCTTACGGAAGATCCAACCCATGTTATCTTCTTTGTTCAGTATCTATTGGAAAGAGATGCTAACCTTCTGACAAGGAAAGATTTTGAGCACAGTGCTGAAGACCATGACACTGAAAGTCTATTTATGATCTTGATGGTACTCAGTGTTGTGGTTAATAATGCCAGTACAAGACATATAAACTGGGAGCCCTTTAAACGACTTGTTGAACCACTGCGAGTGATCCGTGATAATGTAACAAATGAAGAATTGAAAATGTTTACTGATGAAGTTTGCAACAAGATTGTAACGCATGGGGTTGTACAGCGATCTGCTGTGCCACGAGCCTGCAGTAATGCAGCACAAAGTTCTACTGCAAATAAGCCCAAAAGTGAAAGGCATGGAAAGAGTTCATCAAATAATGAAGCACCTGCCACCAAACGTAACACTCCTCCCAACTCCATTAAGGAGGAAGTCTCCTGTATGAAGAGTAATGCATGTAGTAAAGGTCCGGTAAAGGTAGAATCAAAGAGGGAGAGTCGGTGTAAACAAGCTCTCTTTGATGTTTGTGACCCATTGCTTCCTGTTAGAGGTCACGCATTAATCGAGCTTGCCAAACTCATATCAAGCAGTGATAAAGAAGCCCAGCGGCATCGAAACCAAATTCTTCGTATATTTCAAGTAAGTACTGAATTTTAAAGAAATTACAGTATTGGAGTATTATGCACATATAATATATTGCAGTTATTTTCTGTGAAACTAACTATGATTGGTAGTTAGAAAGTAAAGGAAACCAAATTTGAAACAAGATTTAATAAGGCTTACTGTATCAGAGGTTTGTCATACACCAAATTTGTTGTTCAATATCTTAATAACTCTTTCAGGAGAACTTGAAGCACGAGGATTCATTTATCTACTTGTCGTCTATCAATGGCTTGGCTGTAATGGCAAATGTGTTTCCCAATACAGTAATTAAAGCTCTTGTGGAGGAATATGAAGAGATGAGAACAAGAAGGAAAGTGACAGATAACAGCAGTTCAGCAGTACTGAAGATGAAAGTGGGGGAAGTTCTTGTCCGTGTGACGAAGTTACTGGGTAGATATGTCTTGTAGTCAGTGTACTAAGCAGCCATTTACTGTGAAGATTCCTGTCTCATGGGTTGTAATGGCACATAGTCTGGAAGACATTTCCCAGCATTTTGGAGACACCTGCTGCAGCACTCTTCAGGGTTGAAGGCAGCAGGTAAATGTCTTCCAGACTATGGAGTATCATACCACAGAATACAGTAATCTTCAGTGTACTAATTATTTGATAATGATCACAATTATTTAAGTGTTAATTATGTAGCAAGCAGCAACTTGCATGGGTTACTCTTTGGCTGTGAAGATGGAGGCAGTACATTCCTGTAAAATGTTGGTATACATCTACCAAACTGTGTATCATCACATCCAACAAGATAAGTACTGCTCGAATTTTGAGTTGCTGTCTTTGGTGATACTGTGTAAAATGCTACAATTTTCAATTGCCCAAATTTTCTGTCAGAGCTTGTAATATATTTGTTTTGTTTTTGCAGGAGATCTCGTTCCACCATACAAGGCGATGCTGCTGAATGCTTTCCTGGTTGGCACAAAAGATTCTGATCATTTTGTAAGGGCATCGAGCCTTTCCAACCTGGGAGAGGTTTGCAAAGCATTAGGCTTCAGGATTGGACCTGTTGTGACCGAAGTAAGCACATACATCAATTGCCTGCCTGAGGAGGTATATACAGTGCAGCCTTGATATTATGAGCTTTTATAAAATTCACAGAACTGCTCGTTCTAGCAAATGCTCATACTATCTGAAAGTGGTTGAAATACTAAACTACAAATACATCCTCATCACCACTCACCTGTATGTCTTCATGGCATGGTGCTTAATTAAGCCTAGGGACAACTTCCATTTACATAGTTTGCAGTATCACACTCATGTCTGAATGATATTGCAGGCATGACAGTATTTCTTCTCCTTTGGAGCAGTTGTAATGAGGATATGAGAGTAATGTAGAGTAATTCAACACTCATCATCGTTTTCATTATTTGAATCAAAGGGTAGCAACTGTCTTAAACTTATACATCCTCTTATACTTGCAACCAACTGCTAACTTGCAGTCCTTTATGATGAAAAGTGCTATCCACTATTTGTTATACACTTTCATGTCCCACCCATATTGTGCCACAATTCTTCATTTGTGCGTTAAAAAAAGAAGCAGAGCTATCCCTATAACAGGCTGTGAAGACCCATAGGGTTGTGAGATGTCAAGGCTCCTACATTTTCTACACAGTTCAGCTCGCAGATGGTGGTGACGTCAGCCTTACGTGCCGGCCATCCTTTAACCCCCAGGAAGATTTCTGGTACTCATTTCTGTTAGAGGGTTAGTTGAACCCATGACCTTCTGCTTTGTAGCATGGTGCCTCAACCAACTACGTTACAGTGTGCCCCCATTATATATATACATGAGAATAAACAAAGGACACAGCATACACGTAACATCATAACGCATATAAGCCCACACACCACCAAGAATGACGACTCCCATCTGCGGGAAGAATTGACAACCAACAACGACTTATGACAATTTGAATTAAATTTTAAATAGCTTAATAGTGATTTAATCCAAACATAAGGAATCTACTGTGGGAAAAGTGATAATTCTTGTGCTGCATATAGTCTGTTGGCATAGTCAATTACTTTACATGTTTATGTTTTTATAGGACAACGAGTGCCATCGTAACTAAAACCTATGACAATAATACGAAACATACATTTGTGAATAACACAACTGAAAGTGAACATCGAACCAGCTTAATTAACAGTGTCTTCTGCTGTATGAAAAGTGCCTCTGATGATGGTTTTAATTAAACCGAAACATGTAAGGCAAGAATAATAAAAGTGATGTGACCTCTATTACCGCACTGGACGGAAAATTCTATTAACTTTCTAGAATAAACAACATTGATGTGCATTGACCTTCGGTAACATACTCGGCACACAGAGCAGTTTAAATTTCACCACTACTGTATGAACATGAATATACTGTGTTATGGATTCTGGATGCCACATTGGGATTATGCTGAACTTTTTCATGTTATGTGCAGAAGGGATGGATGTGAAACAACAGTTGCACTTCACTGTAAAATGCATGTTGTTATGTAATGGCACATAAACTGTACACGAACCCGTAACTCTTTTAGTTTTCAAACCTAATCAGTTCAGTGCATTTAAGTTGCCATACCCATAATGAAAATAACATGCATGGATAGGACACAGAGTCTGTAGTTTGTGTGCTGATGATACTTTAGTGGCACAGGCCTCATCTCGTTATGTTCATAACACAGTCAGAAACTGAGATAGCAAAATCAGTTTTAGCAGTATTTACTCATGAAAAAGGGAACAGTGTTAATTTTCTTAGGTCTAATATATAGTCTATGTCAGTATATCAGTATTTCACTTTTTACAAGCCACTGAGTTCACACAGATGTATTATTTCAAGCTTCATATCAAAGTCAGGGAGCCAGGATAGCATAGTTGGTATAGTGACTGGCTATGTACTGGATTACCAAGGGGTCAGATTTAAGTTCTGGTAAGGTCAAGAATTTTCTCTTCTCCATGTCTTCCAGACCGGCTCTGGGGCCCATCCAGCCTCCTATAGAATGGGTACTGGGGGCTCCTTCCCCAGGGGTAAAGCGGCCAGTGTGTGAAGCTGACCGCTCACCTCTGACTAGTCCCAAGGTCAGGAAAGTGTGACACTATAATCCTCTCCCTGATACACCTTCATGGCATAGTGCTTAATTAGTTAAGCGCAAGGACAATGTTACCTGTTACTTTTACTTGTGTATCTAAGTCTAGGCTGTTCTGTCATGTTGCCACAATTAGGAGGCTTAAAGAAATTAACTCTGTGCCATCCAAAACGCAGTAAGTGTTTGAGGGACAGAACCTTAGACATATGTGCTGTGTTGTTTTCTGTGACATCATTGTCCAACCTAGGCTATGGGGAAGGTCAGAGGAAGGGGGGGGGCCTGTGTGACAAGGACAAGAAGAACCTGCACATTGCCTTTGTAAACTGTCATAGAATTTAACTGGCCAAACAGCATGATACATATGAAATAAGCTAGTGAACTGAAGAGGAAGTTTAGAGGATGTCTTGTTGTGTAAATTTCTCAGCGGGTAAGAGGGGATAAGCTGCTCTCAGACTCAGGAACATGAACTTTCTCCTACATAGGGATAGGACTGAGCTAGAGATTATTTAAGAAATAAAGGTGGAAGTACAGTTTGAGAAAAGGTTACAGGGAAAGCTAGTTAGGAATTGCCTGTTATAACAGAGGTGATGGAAAAAGACCCTCATTTTATGTTTGTTTCTATGTTCATGTAACATTAAGAAATAGGCAGTTCCAAAGTTTTTTGTCACTGTAATGAAATCCGCATTATAAGCCATATTTATTAAGTCATTCCACATGCGTTTTGTAAACTTTGCAATAAATGTTCTCAGAATATTTGTGTACGAGCAGGAGAAGCTTCAACTGCCATGTAAAAACATTTGTCTGAGATAAGTATACAGCACAGTTATATAAAGTGAGAAAGTTGAGCAGGTATAGTGACTGGGCTTACATGATAAAGGTATTAGGGTTCAGTTCCCGACAGGGCTAAGATATATTTTTTTCTCCACAGCATTCAGGTCAGCTTCCAACTCACTGGGTACCAGAGCTAAAGTGGCCAGGGCATGAATCTGACAAGACAGACAGTTTCATGATGTAATTTTAATTGATTGTGATTTATTAAGACCTGTGTTTGATGTAAGAAAAACCCATTCCCCCCACAGGTTCATTAAACAGGGATTTCATTGAATATCGGTTTGTTCACAGAACTTCCCTCTGGGTGGCACATGGATTTGTTTTCTGCTGGTATTGATAGAATTTTGGAGCAATATGAAAATTGAACACTGCTGTTGAACAACAGTTATAGACTTAAATACTCTTTAAACTTCAAATTATGCAGCCATGTAGCAGCCGGGAAGGAAATTTGTATATGACCTTCAGATTGGAATGTAGGAATTATGTTAAAATATCGCCTTAACAGTGACATTGTTCAGACTGGAGATACTAAAGTGTGACTTAGTTTAAAAGAGGTGAGAAGACAGCAGACTGAGGAGACTTAGTGAGTGATGTAGTGAACTGTCGAGCACCATGAATTTGCAATAACACTATAATTGTAGTTACCGTTTGTAATACAATATTTAACATATTGTAACATATTCAGTGACTAGACACTTGGTTTAAACTGGCTGTCAGATTTATTGGACTCTTACAAACAGTAACTACAATTATAGTGCTATTGCACATTCATGGTGCTCGACAGTTCACTACATCACGCACTAAGTCTCCTCAGTCTGCTGTGCTTTCACTAGTCTTCTGTTGGTAGCATCTTTGCACTACGGAGTCCTAAGCTTCTGTGTTCATGCCCTTACTGGCTACCAACCATCTCATAGTTCCTCATGGTCACAACTCCTGGCCATTGAATCCCAGCCACATCTGGCCACCACTTGATATCACAGGCAAACACCCACTGCTAGCTTAGAAGTCATCTGCCTTGGAACTAAATATTACATTTGGTTCCCAATATATAGCTTCAACGTGGACCCAACAGAGAATACCACCTCGAACAGTTCCTGTCTACTCTTCACAGATTCATAAACTAAACTTTGTCCCGCTTATAACTATCAGCATGGACCAACAGAAAAAATCATTCCTCTATTGTTGCATGTGTGTATGTTGCGGGCATTATCTAGCAGTGGTTGCTTTTTACAGACTACATCCTGTGGTTGTGATATAGAAGTATAACATAATACATGTGTCTACTGTATATTTCTAAACTATCCCATGCACAGCTTTAATACTAAAATAAGGTCTAAAGCTCTCATGCAGCCAGCCAACTAACCGTTTGACACGGCTGATGGCCTGAAAAATTTTTTAGAAGGTTTGCTGTAGTACGTGGATGTAGGCCCATTTGTTTATGAGCACACTTTGATATGGAGATTAAATTGCAGGTATTAGCATGATTTCAATTTATATTTAACTGTAGTGTTGTCAGTGTAGGAACGCATCTTTCTATACATGATATTGTAACGTGTTTTTGCCACTGAAGATGCCGTTCAGATCGTTAATTGGTTTATTTAACAACCTACAAGTCTTGGCTACAATTAATTATAGCACTGTTACGGGTTTCCACACTTTACAAACCTTACACACAAATCTCGTCACACTGTCCTCAGTAGTCTACACGTATTCACAGTACGATACAGGCGCTATACAAATGTCACTGTATTACACACTCCCAATTACTTCTCTTGTGAGCCAAGCATCTGCTTCTCAGGCTATCACTTCTAATCACATGCGTGTCCGGTTCTTCTTTCCGCGACTGCTGCTAGATTCAAACTGTCTTCGTAGGCAGCATAGTTCTCTTATAAACCCTCAGCTGGACAACGGGAAAACGCCTTGCTTCCTTGTTGCCTAGTCGCCTGTTTACCGGTGTTGCTGACAGCACTGTCTAGAGTTGTTTCCTGCTGTGCAGTAACTGTGACATCCCTTGGTCACGCCACCATGGGAGTGGGCGGGGTGTTGACTGGCCTATTACCGTAGCAACGGCAACGCTCCGAAAATGTTACGTCACCGCTGGCGGGGTAGGGGATGGAGTATTGACTTGCCTGTTACCGTAGTAATGATAGCGCTCCGATGCCACCACGTCACTGCTGGGAAGGGAGGGGGTGTCCTCCATAGCGCAACACGTCACAATATTTTTGTCCCATAAAGCCATAAGGGCAGCCAAAGACTGAGCGTTTGAGTAATTTCCCCTCATACATAATTGTAATATGTATCACATTGTCTTGGAACAAGTCCATGATAAGAATTAGAGACTGTGCACAAGTTTATCATAATAATTTTGTAGTAAAGGTAAAAGTGCCATTTTAGTTTAACATCTAAGTTGAATTCTGCAACATTTCTTTAAATATTTCCCCAGTAAAAAAAACATTAAATTTTAATTAGGTAAATAGTGTTATTTTTCTGCATATACTGATATTTTATGCAGTGAACCGTTTTATAAACAGAAGCTTCCACTTCCATATGCTGAAAACAGCCCAGTGCTGAACCAGAAATGAAGCCCTCAGTTTATGGACCAGGGTGTGATAATGCACTGCCTGGCTAATGAGTGTGACCGTGGCGGAATGATGATGAGAAAGAGAATACTTGTGATACCCAGGAAAGTGTCTTTGCCACTTTGTCCACCATGATTCTCACCTGAAGTTGTACTTGGGCCTCCACTATCAATTGTCTATTACTGACTGATAAAGCAAAACAAAAACTTTGTGGTTTTAGTCTGCAAGTGAACTATACCGACCGAGCAACCACCGCTTTTTGGTGAAGTTAGTGCCAACTTTAGCCGATAGAGGGTGTCACGTGGTCAGCACAATGAATCCCCATGGCCGTTAATTTTGGTTACTGATTGATTCATTCATTCATCAGTAATCTGTCAAGACGACAGGTCCACAGTCTCTTCCAAAACAGTTCCTCCACTTGATGCAACCTAGAGCTTTCTCCTTCAAATGATAATATCCTCTTCTGTCCCCAAGGTCATCCAGCATCTTCTTACATCTTCTTCCTCGTCTTCTGGTCACTTCTATCCACCCCTCTATCTTTCCTTCAATAACTTCTTTTAGAAGGCAGTTACTGTGTAAGATATGACCAATCCAATTAGCCTTCCGTCCTTATTTCTTTTAGGATATTCCTCTGCTCACTGACTCTAAATAACACTTCTTCATTTCTCACATAATCGGTCCAACTGATCTCCATCCTCCAACACCACATTTCGAAGCTTTCCAGGTGTTTCTGATCTACTGCCCTAAGTGTCCAAGTTTCAGCCCCATACAAAGCCATGCTCCAAATGTAGCATTTCAATAGTTTCTTTCTCAAATTTAAGTCCAATTTGCTGGTAAAAAGATTCTTCTTCTTGCTAAATGCAGCTTTTGCCATTGGCAATCCTAGATTTAATTTCACATGTACACCTTCCATCATCTGTTAACAAGCTACCCAAATATTTAAAACATTTCACATTCTCCAGTTGTTTTTGGTCTATCTTTATTGTGACTGGGATTGATTGTCTCAAAATTTTCATTACTTTTGTTTTTTCCACATTCATTTCCATGCCATAGCACCTTCCAATTTTGATTAGTCTATCAATCATACCCTGTAGCACAGTTTCTTCCTTAGCCATTAACACAAGGTCATCTGCATATTTCACAGTTTGAATAATTTGCCCTCCTAATTTGAAGTCTCCAAGCCCCTCCAGAGCTTCCTTGGTAAGGCATTCGCTGTACAAGTTGAACAAAATTGGTGATAAACAACTGATTGATATCAGTTTAAAAATGGTAGGAGTACATTTCTGTCTTTAGTCTTCTAAAATATTTTGCAAAAGATATAATCTTTTTTTTTTTCTTTTTGCAGATTCTTATGTGTATCCGTAGCATTATTCAGTCGGATCCTGCACTGGAAGTTAGGAGAGCTGCTGTACTAGTCATTTCACTTCTGTTGCAGGGAATTGGTCATGATAATCTGAAGGTATGTAGTGTTAAGTTTCCTTTTTGTTTAATGGTTCATTTTACAATGCCTCCAGGACCACATTCTCTACAGCAGCAGCTGATAGGATGACAGATGAATGAATGTTGAATTGGAATTGTTTTGGAAGGAAGCAGTAATGACCTGACTGAAATATCTGCCTCATATTTGCCTGGAGGGACAGAAGAAAACTTTTGAAGACCTCAGTCTAGATGGTGGCCCAGCTGAGATTTGACCTGAGTACCTTTCAAATACAATGCTTCATCAACTGGACTAGCCTCGTTGCTGTTAAGTTCTCAGTTCACAGCTAAATTCATGTAGTTGGGTATAAGCAGGAAGCTGAGTACTGACAGTAGCAAATTTACTGTTGTGTATTTAATTGTGTTTTAAGCATATAAACCCAGGCAGGCACAGGTAAATAAAGACTAACATACATATTACTATCGTTTGAAAACTCAAATTCTATCAGATGTATTTGCCGCTTAAAAAGTGAAAAGTCTGTGGTAGGATTCTGTTCATGAGAAGCAGTTGAAATGTCCAGACGCCAAGATAAAGGGCTACAGCAGTTTGTATTTTACTGAATGATCTTTTATGTTTTCACTTAATAAGACTTATTACTAAATATAAGGACAAACTGTGACAATGAATATTCCTATGCTTTACATTCATTATGTTATGGGTTTAAAACATGAAGAGCTTGGCACTGCTGCTTTGCTGTCCTCTTGTAATAATTGTTATACTCAACACTGTGAGAGCCTAACATACATTTACTTTCTATGTCATACACTGAAGCATTTTTTCCTTGCATTCTTCTACGGCTAACGGCTCGAAACCCGTAACTACTGTTGCTTCTATGAAACATTGGCTACATGTTCATGTGGCCCACAGGTTCCCACCATACATAGTTTACAGTTCAGTCTCTGTGTGCTTCCGCAGTCCCTCATTGGTTTTCATGTTAATTTATTATACATTCAGATCAGTTGTTGATTGCAGTAATCATCATTTGAGATATCACACACCGTAAAGGAATACCAGGCCTTTGTTGTGTATTGAATGAAAGTGTTTCAGATAAAAGTTACAATCTTAACAATGTAACTGTTATATAAGCTTCCAGTTTTTGTCATATTGGCCCCCTTTTGAGTAAATTGACATTTGGTTAAGCTTTAATTATTGATCCTCATTACAAAGTGGCACCAGAATCCATTGTGTAGATTTAAGGACAGAATATGTAGACTGATAAGACCTCCATATTATGTAATAATTTTATATACTTTATGCGTGGATTACATAAGATTATATATTTGATTATATCAAATGAGGGTCTATCAAAAGCTCCCACTATGTCGAGGAATGCTCCTAAGGCAATATCCTTGTGTTCAATCACACTTTCTATGTGTGTTACTGCATTATGTAGTGCACTTTCGGTAGATTTACCTGTTTGGTAGGCATGCTGGTTTCGGTGTAGAGGATATGTCCTCAATGCCCCGTCCCTGATATGCCTATCTGCTATTTTCTCCATCGTTTTCAAAAGGAAAGATGACAGGCTGATAGGATGGTAAGCCTTAGCCTTGGTGTAAACTAGTTTCCTGGGCTTTGGGATAAATGTCACCTTAACTTGCCTCCAGGCTGTGTGGATGAAACCATATGCCATGCAGGCTCTATATGTGAGGCATAGGTGTGGAACTGAGAGTTCTGTCCCATGCTGTAAAAGTGCCAGTGCAATTCCATCTGTTCCTGCTGACTTAAATGGTCTAAACGTATTCAGTGCCCATCTGATTTTTGATTGATTAATTATGACTTTGGCCAGGTTCCAGTCAATCCCGTTTGTCTTGCTTTGGCAAGTGCCCAGGTTTTGCTGACCCCTCCATCATCCAAATTATCAATCAGTTTTGAATCTGGAAAGTACACTTCATTCAGTGTCTCCCTTCCTGTTTGAGTATACTGCCTCTTAGGCAGCTTAATCATGCTGACCTTATTGGTTGCCTGTTTTGCCATGATTCTCATGAGTCTGACACTGCCTGGTACATCATTGATCTCCTGGCAGTGCCTCTTCCATGAGGATTGCTTGGCTTTCCTTATTTCTTTGTTGTAACAGGTAAGGGCTTTTTTATAGGTGTCTCACTGCCCTGTCCTTTTAGCTGTATTAAACAGCCTTCTTGTTTTGGTTCTAAGCCCACTCAGCTGTTTATTCCACCAAGGCACTCTCCTTGGTTCGCAAGTGGTCCTAGCCGGACAATTCCTATTAAAGGACAAGATAACAGCCCGTTGCAACTGGTCAATTGTAAGTCATTGTAAGTCCCTGGGCCTTTTTGGAGTTATGGCCGTTTCTGTAGGGGTACTGCCCTCTGACCCTGGCCTCTTAAAGGTACTGGTGGGGGTTTCTCCCTGCTTGGACGAGCCTGCATTTCCTGGTTGCTGACTGCCCCCAGTTCCTGCTATGCTTGCCCCAGCTTTTTCCAACTTCCGTCTGGCGCATCCAGACAAGGCTTTTTTCGCTAGACGGGGTCCACCTACTCCAGAGACTAGGTGTCCCAATCCTTCTCCTACTGCATGTATGGTAGAGGTACTAGCCCCCTGTAGTGGTATGTCAGTACTGCTGACTCCCAATAGAGTTCTTGGTTTGCCCTCAGGAAGGTCCTGAACCAGTGGTTTGTCCCTGCCTTTGGCTGAAAATTCAACAGCAGGTTCTCCGGCTGCATCTGGGTCCTTTAGTGGTTCACAAGAGCTTCCATCCCCCTGCTGAAGCATTTCTCATAGGGATCCCCTTGGAGGGGGGTCCCTCTTCAGTTTAAGGTCCTTACGACCGGTTTTGTTTTAGGTTCCTTTCATTTTGGTCCCACGAGTTTTGGGGAGGTAAAAGGTCGCCACCCCATACTGGTGGAAGGCATAAATACAGTGGGGTGCTGCCTGGTGCCCCGAGGGGATCGTTCAAGACACTGGCTAATTAGCACCCCAGTGCCATGCAGCTCACAGCACGATGCCTCACACTTCGGCTTAGATGGTCTGGTTCTGTTGAATGAAACCCTCACAAGCCTCCAGGGCCCAGAGTGCTTATTCGGGGGGAGAAGTGTATCCCAGATGATTAATGGGAGTGCGACACCAGTTGGTCATGAGGTTGCAACCAGGGCACCTTACATGAGAAATTCGCCCCTGGGGGTAGCTTATGAGCTCCCCCATCCCCATCCCTCCACATGGGTTGGTCAAACCGTTTTAGAGTGTTGAGCCCTAAGGCTTGTGGCACCTTATCGGTACTCTAGGGAGACAACTCAAATAGCCGAAGCTACCCTATAGGAGTGCTCTCCTGCATTCGTCCCTGGTACACTGTAGTGACACCCAAGAGTCATTATGCCATCGCGTGGGAGGCTCCGGTCATATAGCCATCGCCCTTTATGGGAACTCAGTTGCCAGTGCCGGAAGGTCATACTGATCCAACCCCCAAGACTGCCGTTCTCTGGCGGAACCATGAGGAGGTGTCCCAATGCATCCCTGGTCCATGATATGGCCCCACCAAAGACAGCCATGGCTCTGCCAACCTCACCAAGGATGGTGTCATTACCACCACCACCAACACAAATATAAGTGCGACAGTCTTCACAGTGTTATATCCCAGAAGATAAAACCCTTCATAACGACCGCTGTGCAAATCACAAATCCTGTGTTAATAGTGTTTGTTTGACAACACCCATGGGGATTATTTCTGATGCCTCTACTTCTTTACATAGAACAGTCCTTCAGATGGTTTCATTTGAACAACCTTCATAATTACTCTTTTAAGTGTATTCTTGTAATGTTATTCACTGAATTACAGGTCGTAGAAGATATTCTGCTGGATTTATACAGGACTCTGAAAACACTGTATCAGCATGAAGAAGATGATATTATGAGAATTCATGTTCAGCTGGCATTGGAGGACTTGAATAAATCTGTCATCAAATTCTTGTTTCCGCAACCCAAGCTGGAGAAGAGAATATATGTGATAGATCCTCCAGAATCATAGATTCTGCACAGTATAGTGTTGGAGATTGATTCTCATGTAAATGTGATTTATGTAACTAAAGATTATTTGTTTTGTGAACCAGTGTTGGGTTGAGAATTATCTAGATAATGTCGATGCTTAATTAGAAATGTACGTAGGATTACCAGTTTCCCCATGCCAAAGATTCTTTCAGTCTCTTTCAGCCAGCCACAGCGATTTCTGCTGACTGAATGCTGTTTACCCGAATTCTTGTCTGCCATTTGATATGCAGGATTGCTACACAGAAGTGTGTATGTTACATTTCCTTGTTAACAGTTATACAAAGAAGCAAATACAAGATCCAGTTGGACATGTCTGTTATCAGATATGTAGTGTTTGGTAAACAGTGAATGTCATATTGCAGGTCTTACCAGAACACATTTTGAAACAGACACGAAAGTTCTTATACACATCATTTAAAAATTAGCAACTGTTTTTATCTTAAATATCATTATTGGCAGTCAGTTCAAGAAGTTTGACTTAACTGGTTTATCCGCTCTCTACCCCCCCC